AAAAAAAGCAAAAGATCCTATCGAGCCTTTGGATTTTCCATTTGGAGTAGCCACTGGCGCACCGAGCATTAACGACATTCCACGCGCCGCCGATGATCGCGTGCCTGAACGACAAAGCCGGAACTGACGCAAGAAATTCGCTACAATGAAAAATGAAACCATGATAAACAAAAAAGACCGAGCGTGTTATTTATCCATTATAGTTGATCAATGCTAATTTATTTTTTCTGGCTGAAAATACGCCTTACATGAAACTATGAGATATATATATATATATATATATATATATATATATATATATAATTCAGATTTTGGTGTAATAAATTAATCAAGCTGTCTAGGTGTGCACTGCCGCTCATAAAGAAAGCTCATGATTATGAATGTCCCCTGCGGCAACAGCAAGCATATTCGCTGCGACGCACTGTCAGCACTTGAATTTTATATTCCTTTCATTTAAATTCAAATAAGCCCTTTTTTTCGATGAACATGCAAGAACGAGGGAGGACAAAGTGTAGTGCTTGGATAAAAGAGGCGCGGCGGGGAAACGGAGCGAAAGATATCGCGGAGCTGTTTCGTCACACATTGTTGCGCGTCTTTATACCACGCAAAAGCCTTCCGGTCGCAAGTTCACCGAGCGGGGACAAAGGTAAGCTTAAGCAGCGTGACGTTTGTGAGAGTAAAAAAAAATTGAATTTTCAACTCCACTTCGTGTATATCTATTTTTTCAAAGCTCAAATCTCTCTTGCGTTTCCATTGAAAATGCTAGGCAAATGACCGCGTGCGCGTACAAAGGGATAAACGGTAGTCCACATAGCTTGGTTACGACAAAGGCGTTCGAAAATTATATTGACAGTAGATTTCGTAGCGATTTACATTCAAAATTCGGTTATAAGCCTCGACATATCTGCGAAAGATGAGCGAAGCGCGGCGCGAGCTGGTCGGTCGGGGGATGAAAGGCTTGGCTTCGCGGCTTTTGTCGCGTAATTTCTTTGTTAATCCACCGATGAGTTTCGAGCGGCGGCGGCGACGGCGGCGGCGGCGAGCGAAGATTGAATTTCCTGCCGAACGGACGGATTATCGGGAAATTGATTTATTCCGCGGGGCTATTTCAGTGCTCTGACTTTGTAAGTAAGTTCGTTAATTTTCACGGTAATGCGATAACTGACAGAGGAAGAGAAAGAAAGAGCGCACGCGAGAGAGAGAAAGAGAAAATACTTCTGGACCAATACATTGTCCGAATAATCGAGTTTTTAATTTGATTGCCTGATCAGCGAAGTATCCATCGTTTCCATCGATGCGTATTCATGAAATTCTGAAGCATCCATCGCAAGGCAAATGATCATTCAGCCCAACAATAATCTACGAAACAATCGTCGTGGCTGTACTCCACGCATAATACATTGGCTGCTCGCTCGTGTGACGGTCTACGCCCAGCCGACCGAAGCCACCGCTTGAGTCAACTCCTGCTTGAACAACACCGTTTGGGCGCGCACGCGTGAATTACCCTCGACATGCATTATGTATTTCGTTATAGGGGGACTCGCTGTGATGAGATGCTCGACGTAATTTTACGTGGATTTTTAATTAGGCAAATTTTCAATCTTTTTCCCTTATACCGCCCGTGTAATTGTATATTGTAGGTCTAGCAGCGTTTATGTAAAATTGCCGAGATGAATGAGGATAATATTTGACGTTGAATGTGAAGAGGATTTTCCTTGAATTTTTATAATAAAAGTTGTTTTATACATAACTGATAATAAATGGAACTTTAGATAGACACAAGTTTTACAATACGATTAATTTTAATTATAATTTCATGTTTTATCGTGATCAGGTGAAAACTTTTGTTATGAAATATGAATAATTTTATCGACACCACCTGCGAACATTGTATTGTACTATTTTTTTTATTTAAAAATCATCGTTATAAGCAAAAATAAAGTAATAGCGTGATTTTTTTAAAGCAAAGTCTAATAAAAAAAAGTCAGTAATTAACTTGAGCTAAGAAGCCCAGAGCTCTTATATTTATGGGTATCGTTAATACATAAAATATTTGAGGCTGGCCGCAACCGAAAAGAAAAACCTGGGGAGAGAGAGAGAGAGAGAGAGAGAGAGAGAGAGAGAGGAAAGAAAAAAAGCAGCGGAAGAGGAAACATTACGAGAACTGAGGCGCACCTGAGCGAAAAATAAAGCAGCACGGTTGGCTCTTCCTCGCGTGTAACAACACAGTGTTTTCGGCAAGAGGAATGGCGTGGCCGTGTCGCAAGCTCTAGGGCGCGGCTCGTGTTTCGTGGACGCTCTCTCTCCCTCTCGCAGAAAGTGCTTTTCTGCTAATGGCGCCGAGAGCCGTCTAATGGATTTATGTCTTTATCTTGCTCGCTCTTACTCACCGAACAATTTTCCGACGTGCCAGTAAACGTTGGAGATTTGAGTTTTCTCGGAGCCTCGGTCAAAAGTCCGTCTCTTATTCACGCTCCAGCGGCACAAGTCCGTACGCGTGCTTCGTTCCGCTCGTCGATACCTGCTCGCTCACCTGTTTATCGAGCCTCGTATAAAAGGCGCACACACTCTTACCTGGGCTACGCGTCTGGCGCCTGATCGTCGAGCCATGCCAAAGTGATGCGGCTTTTCGACCAAGGAAAGAGGATGAGCTCGTACGGCTCCCTTTCGGCCGTAGAGTAGCGCGTTTGAGACCGCTCAGCCCCTCGGTCGCGCTGAAAGCCGACGGGGAAAAATGCACGATAATCAATTGGTCGCGAAAATTTGGAGCCTCGTCGGGAGATAAAATCTTGATGAAACTGACGAATCTCGGGATCACAGCGTATTAATGACGCTGCTCGCCGCCGTGCGTATAAAATGCGCGCCAAGTGATTAATAAACAAAAATGATTTACATCGCTCGAGGCCGCGCTTTTGCATCTTTCTCAATTATTCGGTAATCACTGCGGGGAAAAAGTATTATGCGCGAGCCAGGCATCATGCATTCGCTTGATTAAAAATTGATAACGCGTTGTAAAAGGCGCGGTCGGCTCCCTCGGTTCTTTGTTCGCGGGTCGCTGACTGATAAATGCAATATTCACGAGTAGCTCAATGCCGGAAAAATTCATCGGCTTGGCGGCGTCAATAGCCGCTGTACTGCAGTGGTTTTAATTAAAAATGACGCATCCGTCGATATATTTCTCTTGCGAGCAACTTGCAGCGTACTGAATTCGCGTGCGCCGTAAAACAGGCTCGTATAACGAGATCGCGGCGCTCGGCGAGTGGCGCGACAAATCTCCGCGATATCGCATATTTTCGCTTTCGCGCACCATAACTTGTTTATTCGCTAGCTCTCTCTCTCTCACTCTGTCTCTCTCTCAATGGCATTATTCACTGGTTTCACGCGAGTCCAAGTTAAATTTAGCCAGTCGTTATTGCTCGTTCGGCCAATTATGGAAATGCTCGTAAATAATTTGGCTGCGCGCGAGGGAAGGCAGAGTAGAGAGGCAGCGCGATGGCAAGCGCATAAGCAAGGATTTCGGATCGGCAAATTAATTCGCGACATTGATTATGAGCGTATGTTTGGCCAGGGCAATTATCGAGCGAGTTGGTCGCCCGTCGACGAGCGACGCATGCACGGTCTAACGGTCAATCCACTTATCCCCCGCTCTTAGTCTCTCGCTTCTCTCGTTCACTGGGAACAACGTATTTGCCTGTTACGGGCTGCTGACCGGATCCAATTTTCTCCGCCATCGTCCAAGTCTCGATATGGGTCCGGAGTACTCGAGCAGTAGCACCAGCAGCAGCAGCCCTCTGCGAACAAAATTTTAGCGGCTAATTCGCTTGTACGACGCCGCCAGCTTTTTATTGGCGTGTCTGTGAGCAAAAGCTCTCTCCGCCTCTGGGAGTACATGCACAGTCTGCCTATCCTCGCGCTGCCTCCCGGAAAATACGGACTTAACGTGCTAACTGTAATTGGGTGCTAGTCTACACGTAAAATCCCAAACTTGCGCAGCTCTTCTCTTCTATCTTTACCAATTACACACTTTTATTCAATAGCTTTTTAGTACTGCTTTATGCATTTTATACTTTTCTTATATTTATATAGCGCAGTATCTACTCAGGTTAACTGTTGTGAATTTGAAAAACAATGAAATATGTTGTTAATCCTCCTTCTGGTGACCTCCGGACAAATTTCAACTAACCGCGACCAACAAAATGAGCAATAAGATTGCGAAAAAGTTCCTCTTATGACAAGCGTGTAGCATCAAGAGCCGTCAGCTGGGAGTGTAGCGGCTCCTGTAATCCAGCGACTGGAAACTAGTTATAGCGGAGGGTCTGAGATCGGGAACCACTGTTGGTGTAGGCTCCCCACGTTGACTGGGCGTCAGCACTAAGCTCGCCATCAATATGGCCACCCTGGCGGAGGCCGGGGCGGCCAGGTTAGCTAAGGAGAGGCGAACCGAGCCAGAGGGGAAACCCAGCAGCCAAAAGTCTCCGTGGCGGGCAGTAGTGGGATCGCGCCCGGGAGTTGGGACTGCAGCGACAGCCTGGTCAATACGATTCGACCCATAACTTTTTTATCATTTTTTACGTTTTTCCCCCGCTCTACGTTATTTTTCCGAGCAGCTGGCAGAAAAAAAAAACAACTGCAACGTTTTTTCGCAAAAACAATTTTTTGAGAACCCTGACGCTTTTACTGCTGACGCGTAAAATGTCAAGTGACTCACGTTGCTTGTTGACCGTAATCTGATGCTTCTATAATGATACTGAACATTAGTCAGAAAATTAAAAATAGTATAATATACCTGTTTAATTATTGTGATAAGATTGAACAGTACAATTTGTGATGATGATAAGAACAAAATAAATATTTTAAATACAATACAAAAGTATTTCGACATTGAATTGTAGTTTCAATAAATTTGTCTACCTAAAAATAATTGTGAACTATTCACAATGAAATAATGTGGATTATATAAAGAATTATAAAAAAATTATAGGGAATATGTTTTATTACAGATTTTCAAAGAAACAGCACTATTATTTTTGCTTATCGCTGTACACCGGAGCAGAGCTGATTCCGAAGAAGAATCAACAACACCGACACAGCCGTCAACAGCAACATTGGGCACATTATTTCGGCAAGCACGTTCCGAGCGTTACTACCCAAACAGCGGCTCGTCTGCGAGCGGATATGGCGAGGATACCTTAGCAGCTTCGCGAAGCGATACTTACGAAGGGCGTGACTCCGGTTACTTCGACCCGAGATGTATCACTTGCGACCCCAACAAAACGCCCGCCACTGCGGCTGCTGCCAGCATTCCCGAAACGAGAGAGTGAGTTAGCGATCTTGTCACCAAAGTAGATAGATGGCGTGTCACTGCGCAAAGCGTGAGAAATGTGCAGGGAAAATTAAGAGCCAATCCAACCAAATTTTAGGTCTCGATTTATAAGTAATTCTATCGAGTACGAATGATCGATTAAAAATAAATGTTCTCCTCGTTTTATCAACTCTTTAAAATTTTTCTATTCTTCTAATTCTTCTTACTTTCTGACTTTATGTATGATAAATATATATTATTTATTGCAGCCCTTACAGAATGTATAGGCCTAGACCAAAGTATAACGAGTATTACGAAGACGACCAATACGGAGCTACCGACGATCGCCGGTACCGTGATCAATATCGAGATCAGTACCGAGGTCCATACCGAGACCCGTACCGGGACCTATATGATTCGTATTATGATAGAGCAAGATCACCTAATTATGACTATCGACAATACGACCCTTATGCCAAAGGCAATGAGCTTTTCAGACCTTCGACCTACAACGACCAAAGGTGAGAAATCGAGGTACTTAAATGAAAATGACATCACTTACTGACTCGGATAAAATTGATTTTTTTTTATAGTGTTGGTAGGTATGATCCTTACCAACGAGATCCATACTACAGGGACAGACCACTCATGGACCGACCAATCAATAGGCCGCTGATGGAGCGTCCTCGTGATCGTCCTGCCGAAAGACCGTATGATCGTCATTGGGATCCCCACTACGATCGTAATTATGAAAATTATGATCCAGCTTACACTTACCCAGAGGATGATTATGATCGTTACGGGCCACAGAGGAGGCCGCCTTATGAAGAGTATGGCCCGCCAAAATATAACCGCGGTGGTAGTAACCGTGGATATGGGCGATACGATGCAAGATATGACAGGTACGACCCGTATGAGAGGAGTATGGGTAGAAGACCATTAAACTATGACGACAGGTAGACAATTGTTTATCGGTTGATAGTGTCATTGCTTTTTGGAAACAATTTCGCAAACACCAATTCAATCACCAGATACGACGGCAGATACGGAGGTAGCAGAGGACCAGGTCCTGATCAATCTCGAGGTTACTATGGAGGTGGCTACTCGTCCGGAGGAGGTGTAGACCGACCAATTTACGCTAGTGCTTGGAACTACGCTGGAAGCAGCCGGGACAACTGGAGGGATGTGAATCGAGATCGTGATCGCGATCGCGATCGTGACCGTGATAGGGACCGAGATCGCGATCGAGATTATGTGTAAGCTACTTATTAGATTTTTTATTCAACTGCTGCATCTTTTTCAAAAGTGTTTTTATGTTTCATCTAAAATATTATATTTTCTAAAATGGAATAGCTACTATGGGCCAAAGAATTATTATTATGATAGTACAGCTGCACCAGGTGGCTCGCGAGGCACCAGTTATTACGACCGACCCGAATCCTCGACTAAGCCAGACACTGATCGCGACAAGCCAACCAACTCACCTCAAACTCAAGACACCAAAACCTACAAGGATTAAGGGACTAAGCCGGAAAAACACTTTCAGATCTCACTGATCCGTATGGGACATGTTTATTTGTGATACTCTCGCAAGGAAATAGTATACTTTGATGATCAATATACTCATGCGATCTACTTTAAACAAATATATTTAAAATTTATTTTTTCCTCTCAACATTGAACATCATTGTAGTCATATTGTCATAGAGCTGTCTTGATCATTCTTCAAAAGATAATCTGTTACATATCATAAACGAATTAAGCAAGACTGTACGCAATACGCAATATGTTAATAATTCTGATTTATTTAAATTAATTTAATTAAGACAAGTGGTTTTTAAAGATAATTAATTAGTATTCTCCAATTTTTAAGCTTCAAGCTATTGGCATTGAAAATTATCAAAAGTTACGATATAGCTATAGAATCGTAGCTTCCAGCTACAAATAACGTAAATAAGTATGTATTTAAATTAATAGTGATTTACGGATTGTCAAACTGATGCATGTATGACATTTTTCTTTCTTTTTATCTCGAGAAATTTTTATATATAAGAAATTTTTATTAATAAGCGACAAATAATTTAGTAAGAATACAAAATATTAAGTAAGAAATTATGTAGCAAAGTGATATATATCGAAACCAATTGTCATGCTGAGAGTGTGTGGCAATTTTTTTTTCCAACTGTTTTATATTTAATAAGTTATAAGTTTTAAATTTTTGTACCAAATAATCAATTTGAATAAAATAATCATCAATGCAGTGTTTGTTTCTTCTACAGCCTCATCATTTGAAGAGGCTTAAAAAAGTTTTAGCTACAACGCCAAATAATTAATTCAAATCTCCATAGAACAATAGTATTTGTTTCATGATAACCGTTTTACCTTATTTTTTATTTCAATCTTTAAAAGGTAGAACAAATAAATCCATGCAGTTGAATTTCAAGAAAGCAAAGTCGTCTAGGAAGAATGAGGAAATAAAAAGAAATGATGGAATACATGATCCAAGAAAAAGCTAAGGTAAGATTTCAGTAAGAAAAAAGGTCAGTTATGAACAAAACTGAGATTTATGTTTTTCTTTCGGGCAGGTATTGCAAAGCATTGATTTACATCAAGAAACGTACGACATTCGCCATCGTTGAGTATGTAAGCTCGAAACTTTATGTATATAGTAGCAAGTTAAGGACAAAATTAGTTTCTAACTTTTTTCAACTCCACGGAAATTGAAATTTGTATTATTGATGCATCATTGTCAACGGAATCAAGAAGTTTCATTGGACAACGTTTTCAGAACTTCATCATGGAAATCTCATTAAAAGTTACTTGGCTTTTTCAAACTAGTTATGTGTACAAGTTTAGCTGAAAACTTGCAAGTTATGACAATATTTGCCTTTAAGTTTTTATCTACGCTTGTACTAATTTTAATTGCACACATTTAATTTACTTGCCGAACTAATCAGCGATGTTATAAATCAAATAATCTTCATTACCAATAGTATTTGACGCTTTTTCGGTTGAGAAATACATTTCCAAGAAAGACCTCGATAAAATATGAAAGATGCCATCTCGGAATAAACAGCAGGGTCAGGGGAGATTGAAATGAGCACCGACTGGTTTCCCCATTATTTTTTTATCTCGACCGAGCCAAGAAAGCGTCGCATGCAAATCTCAATGGAAGTCGCTTTTACGGCTCAGTATTAAATTGTCGAAGGGCTGCGGAGGGAAGATGAAAGGGAGGGAAAGAAGGGAAAGGGCTCCCTTGCAAGAAGTCGCTCTTTTTGCACGGGTAATAAACCAAGGGTAGAGACATTCAGGTGTGCGCACGAAATCTGGCTATAATTTCGTGGCTTTCGGCGATCCCATTTTCGGCTCTGCTACCCCTCTTAGTTCCTAAAATTTACTCGCAGTAAATTGCACGCAGAGTATTATGCGATCTTTGCTATCGTTGAGAGTATTAATAAATTTGAATTTGAATTTTGAAAATAACGATCATATGTTTTTTATCTGTAATAAGTGAGGATTGTGGTTAATTTAATTTGCACGAATACCGTCATTATAAAAGCAGCAATGGAAATTTTTTATTCTAGAACCGGTAGGTAACCAATATAATTAATGTAGAGATTATCCAACCGTGCTTTATGAAGTGATGAATCTTCGGATAGACTTTTTAATGTTAATTTTTTCACCAATTACTAAATGGCCCAGATACTTTGAAAAGCTGCTTAAAAGCTTGATACGTACAAGTTTGAAAAATAAAATTGATTTAAGTAGTTAAAAAAGAGTTAAAGTTCTCTTCTCAAATAGAGTCTGTCATTCAAGACAGAGAAATATTCCGTTTACTTTTCGCGCACATATTATTCGGATGACAAACTGTTCTCATACGACTAGGACGCAGCATTATTAAACATTGATTACGAATTCACTTTTGATTGCAGTTGAATGTGCAAATGATTTCTCTCGCAACCGTCCTTTTCAGTCAGAAGCTCGTCTTCCTTTCACTTTCACCAGGTAAAACCCACAGAGTAGAAAGAAAAAGAAGGAAAGAGCAAAGAAAAGTACGACCAATCAGGCTCCAATCGCGGCCGATCATAAGACGCGCTGCGGAATCGCGCGATCTAAATGCTAATGAGCTCCAACTGGTTCTTTGTGCATAAGATATCGCGTCTTGCCATCGTTATCGTCTATCGCAACCGACGGAAATTCCAGCGATATTGCAGATTTAATATCGATTGTCTCTTCAATATTTGCTGAGAATTGTGAGGTTCAAGTTGCTTCAAAGAAAGATGTCTGAAATCGACTTTAATTACCACGAGGAAACGATGGGGAGAGGCCAGTAATGAACGCTTATTTTCACCTGAGATAAGATTAGGTGTGTGCGAGGGGGTAATAAAGTGGAATTCGACGATCAGGCAGCCGATCGAATTCGGAGTTAATTCAATCTTGGTTGGTAACTACGCTCGAGGAAGACTAGTGGTGGCGATGGTGGTGGTGCCGTCGATGAGCTCGCGCGAAGCTCCGATGAATCTACCTTTAGGAGAGCTTCAAGGTTTGACGAGCTAATACGTTTCGCTTGTCTCGTCCTCACTTTCCAAATAAACTTCATTTATCCGTGTAGTTAAGGTGTTCTCGCTCAAAATTATTTACCATCCTTCGACCTCGATATTTGATTTTTAACGATTTTTCTCGCTTGACTTCTGTTGCTCGAGCAAATATGAGAAATCATAATAACCACAATCGTCCTGGTACTGGAATTCAAACAAAAAAACAGCAACAGTTATCTTTCATACGCGATTCGTATATCCTGTAAATCAAGCATGTCTGTCTGTCTGTCTGTCTATCTCACTCACTCTCTCTTTCGTATGTGTTTTCCCGCGGCAGACGTATAAAGAGCGCATCTCCAGAGAGAAGCTGCGCCGCAGGCTATTTGCATATCGACTTGTAACTTTTGCTTACAAGTCAGACAGCGGGCGAGCGTGCGCACGCGAGAGAGAGAGAGAGAGAGAGTTAAGAATTTGGCGGATATATCGCGGTGAAATCTCATCGCCTACACGAACAGGTGTTCCTCCGACAAGTATATCGCGCATTAGAATTGCATGAGGCAAGATGCGCAAGTTCTTTGTTTTTTCTTTTCCTTTTACTCTGCAGGCTGTTTGTTCGATGCTTTTTCTGATAGGAATACGAGGAAATGATGACGTTGCATACTTGCCAAGGAAATGGATATCATTTTATGTATTCATGCATTTCTGATCCTCCGTACGAGGGAAATTGCCGAGCTTGAACTTGAATTTCAGATAAATAATGAAATATTGGCAATTTCGTAATAAATGAACTGTTAGCATATATCCCAAAAGGGACAAACATTTATGATATAAGCTCCAAGATAGTGGCGTTAGCAACGTAGCCCCGGCACGCGTACTTGGTGCAATACAGCAAGCCAAGACGTTAGGTGCGACGGCACGGTGACACCTGAGTCCCGAAAACGAGCTCGTCGTCCGAAACAGCTTGGCAGCAACAGCTGCCTCGTGCGTATATAGCTGGAAGCGAACAATCGATGGAGTGCGCGAAGTTTGCCTCCGCGCCGAGGCGTCAGAGTGTGAGCGCAGCACTAATACTCGAAGCATAGGTAGGATATGTATACGTTGGAATATATCAGCAGTAACAAGGCACGATGTCGATAATCCATACGCCTAGATTGTACGCCGCAGTTTGCGGCCGTCTGGTCGTTGTTGTTGTTCTTGTTTGTTCCGCGAGTACACCCGTAGTTTGCCCAACCGAGGCAGTTCAGCCGTGCCCTACCCGAAGTTGGCACATGTAACACGTGTGCCTGTTAATACGACACCTAGCAGACTTTATAATTTATATCGTTACAATGGATTGTATTCCATCCAACCAGGCCTATAAATTAGTGCATTGCAACCAGCTTATCACGTTAATTTCATATTTTTCTAGTCATGCACATTAACGACGGCGTCAACAGCTTTATAATTGAACTTGCTCGCGAAACAAGCTTTTGATTTTGATGCAGCTCGGGAAAGAACTCGGGACATTTGAACAAAGCAAAGCAATCTTTGGTCTTCTGGTATTCACCGTGGCATTTCGATGTATTAGAAATCACGTGCTGTGTCGCGTGGCCCAGCCAAGTCGTCTTGTCCAAAACTTGCGAGTTGAAGAGCTTTAAGGCCAAGAAGCGCTGCTGCGACATGGATCAATGGCTTCCTCAGTGCAGTTTCTCGGACAGAGCTCCTCATTGAATTAACGAGCTCCGTCAAGATAAGGAACGTTCGACCGGTGCAGAATGGGCAGAGCCGATTGGGTTTTAAAGTAATGAAGTCGTATTGTGAGGTCGTACTGAGTGATTGCCTGGTGCAATGGTTTAAATTAAGTCTTTTTCCCCGAGCTTAACGTAGCGCGTTGAATTCTCACCCCTTCGTTGGATTAGAGAAAGTTTAAAAAATACTTGCTGCTTTGAATGACTATTTTTTTTAGTATTCGTGTAAATGGTGGTCAGCTTATTTTTTTAAAAAGTTACTTTTACAAGTTGGTTGCGTTGCTGATGAATAATAAAACAAACAGAATTCTTATCGAAGAGAATAAATGTTTTTCTTGATCTGTCATGAACAGAGAAAAGAGAACCTCGCGTAGACGCAAACTGAACAATTACAAACGTATCGCACCTCGCGAGTGTAATCGCCGTGAAAAACAGCACACACATGCCTTGGCCGAACGATATGACACAGTACACAGCAGCTTGTTATCGATAAAGAATTTACGAGGCGCCATGCCAGCCTGCGATCAGCACCATACACGTATACGCAGCTGCAAAACCGCAGTCATCGCCGCCAACAACGTGTCGTGCGACTGCTATATCGCGTCGAAAGGGGTCAGCTGTATTTTCGTAATGGAAGAGCTGAGTGTTCAACTTTTCAAATGTTATTCCATAAATTTACAATGCTCTAGTTTGCAGGGTGCTTTTGCAATTGTTTATTTGCCAGCTTAGCGGAACTATTTTTTAATAGACAAACTAAACTTTTATAAAATAAGAAACTCTGATATAAAAAGTTGCCCATAAAATTGAAAAGCATTTTAATTGCCTTCCATATTCTTCACGCATGAATATTGACATAAAGCACCGTTTATCACCTGACAGGGACAGCTACTTCGAGAAACGTCGTAGAAATCCCACGTGTGCACACGATAGGGATGGTTGTTGCGATAATAAGAAAAGAGGGAGGGGGGGCGTTTTACGGTGCTGTAAAACTGTACAGCCGAGGAAGGTCATTTCGCAACATTGCGCTTTTTCGATGATGCTTTGTAGCCTTTGCCGACGTTAGCGCGCTATGCTCATAATGGATTTTATGTGAGAACTTTTAATTTACGAGGCAGCGGTATGAAGACGTTGTGTAGATAAGACGCTTGGCTCTTAGCTACCAGAAACTCTTAAAATGAAACTTTCTTTTGTCTCGCATCGTTTTTCAAGAAATTGATTTTTTATGTCGGAGATAATATTACGCGTTTCTAATTTATAATGTGAAGACGGCATTAAATACGTAATAAAACTTTCTCAATGTTTTAAATAAGCATTTTCTGTATGATCTGTAACTTCGACTCCAGGCAATTTTCCTGCTGTATCGACGCTCAGCGCACCAAGCGCTGCTTAGTTCAGCTTCAACGCGAACGCGACGCCACGCGGCACCTTTTCATAAAAAAAAAATGACTTTCGCGAAAAATCGTCGCAAAGAGTTGATTCTTTTTGCCAACGGCTTGGAAAAATAACGTAAAGCAGGGGAAAACCGTAAAAAATGATAAAAAAAGTTATGGGTCGAATCGTATTGACCAGGCTGTCGATGTAGTCCCACTCCCGGGCGCGATCCCACTACTGCCCGCCACGGAGACTTTTGGCTGCTGGGTTTCCCCTCTGGCCCGGTTCGCCTCTCCTTAGCTAACCTGGCCGCCCCGGCCTCCGCCAGGGTGGCCATATTGATGGCGAGCTTAGTGCGGACGCCCAGTCAACGTGGAGCCCACACCAACAGTGGTTCCCGATCTCAGACCCTCCGCCATAACTAGCTTCCAGTCGCTGGATTACAGGAGCCGCTACACTCCCAGCTGACGGCTCTTGATACTATACGTCTACATAAGCTACACTTCCGATTTTTCTCATAACACTCCACATTTGTTCCATTCGCTCTAAAATTTTTAATTCGCTGCACTCTTGATCAGTTTCATTTTCAGACTTGAGAATTATTAAAAAAAATAGTTTTGGTCTTATTAATTTTTTTTACCGTTACCGGGATTTGAACCTGAGAGCCTCAGAGCCGCGTTAATACAGATGGAAGAGTAACATTTCAATTATAATTTACACAAAAATGAAAAAGTATGATCTATGTGATGACTGTTAAGATATTCGAGAATATCATCTAAGAATATCTCAGCAGAAGTTAAACTTCAAGTTGAAACTTTATTGAAGTAAATGCATATTTCATGTCAGGTAGGTAATCCTCAGTTTCAAGTGGCTGTAAGGACAATGTCAAGACGAATATTACATCCCTCATGAATTTTGTGGAAAATTCCTAAGAGGCAGGTACGTGCTGGCGTAGCATCGTATCTGGCTGTACCTCTCTCTTATACTTCTGAATTTATACATCGTGCCTAAGACATACAGGCAGCACAAAGAGCCAGCACTTGAACAATCCTACGCTCGCTAGCTGGCTTTATCTTTGCCCTTTGCGCTCCGTCGACTTCTTCATTGGATGCAAGTTTGCTAAAGCGATTAAAAGTTCAAGATTCCTGTGTTCAAGTACGTGCTTCGGCAACAAACAAATTAATTTTCATAACCAAAAAATTTCCAATTATTTGCACTTTCTCTCAAGAGCACTTAATGTATTTACGTTAATATAAATACAATTATCTCGCTGGCACACGGCGCTATAATGGGAAAATGCTTCAAAATTCATATAGTTTCTAATGTTAGAAAAAAATACGTTCTCCCCGGCTAATTATAATTCATGTTATTGCAATTTAAAAAGTAAAAAATACCATTAACGGACAACCATATATTATTCAATGTATCACCAAGAAATCGTAATAGCAGAATATGCTGCAACTATGTTTATTATTGGAATCAGTAGAAAATAATTATTGATATATTACAACATTGTCGATTGATCGTACGTTCAAAAGTTTGAGACAATAGTCATGCAAAATAACTCTGTATATCTCAAATATCGTTTTAATTGATAATTATACTTCGTATGAATTTAAGGAAGAATATATATGGTTCTGCTAACATTCGACTCGTCGATTATATTAGCTGATACTACCTTAAAACCCTTCAAATATTGATTTCTAACGTGATAATGATAATCATTATCATCTCAATTCCTGGCATATTATCTCGAAACTACAGATACGCATTAATGCGTACATAATTAACGCCTGTGAAATACGATCGGACGCTTTAATTCTCTATTGTTCGGTCGAACGATAAAACTTGATATACTGCTCTACGCTTGGCGCCTGTTAATTCGATGTAAATAATATTTATAAATAATTTATAAATAATATATATAATATTGAAATATGCCTATTTCAGCGTAGGACTGCCAAATATTCCTGGATTTATTTTATAAACAATGTGATATCAGCCTTGGTGAAAACGAAATATTTAAAAATCGAAGCTTCTAGGTCCACAATAATCACAAACTTGCAGCACAAATGACAGTAATAGTATATTACGATACGTGTGACTTAAACAGCCAATTATTGTACGACGTGATATTAGAACTCGCGCACAAGCGAGAACGATAATCACGACGTGTAACGATCGGATACTTGAATCAGAAATATCGTACAACATTTTATAGTACTGCCGATCTTAAATCAGTACTTACGGTACGTTTATCCGTGACTTAAGATAGGTCGGTTTCGCAGCGTAAAGTCAGGATACGAGCGCCAGCGATTATAAATTAGTAATTTACTATTTCACATTCGTTTTGATCCTGCGAAGCGCTTAATTTTTCGGTCGACCAGTTGAGTTGGCGTGCTAACGCGTTAAAAAAGAAGCGAGGATCGTACGTAACGCGTCATAAGCGATTTGGCTCCATTACGTCCCATTATAGACATTAGCTGAATGAAACAGGGATATAATAACTTTAGCGTGGCGCCAAGCAACACAGAGATACGGATCGGCGCGCAGCGGGAATAGGGTAGCTGCAATTTCATTTTCGCGTAATTAGAACGTCCGTTACAAAATTAATTAGCGCGGAAATATGGAGCGCGCCAGGTAATTTTAATTATCTCGACTAATAGCCCTCACCCCCCCCCCCTTTCGCCCTCTCTCGCCCTTTCACTGTCGCCCTGTTAATGTTTACGTGTTCGCGTATATGTATACACACACATCTATACACACGTACGAATGCGAGGGTGTCCGAATGCTGCGGCGATTTTCGTCGAATATCCACGCCTGTGGTATTCAACAGCGAAACAAAGCGGCTGCATTATAAACACGCTATTTGCCACCCCTACACCACACTCTTTTGTGCGATCCAATGATTTCGATCTGCTGTGTGATAATGGGATGCGCGCCATGTTAAAATGTTATTGCACCAACACTTTCATTTTTCATCATTGCTTTTATAGTGCCGCCTCGTGTAAACAACTGATTGTGGATATTTTGTCATTGGATTAAGTGGATTACTTTTGGTTTTTCATGTTTTTAACATTAAACAATTTTATATTCTCGTGGAATAAACGCCATACCAAATTGATTCATGTTAAACCTTGTTTATCACACTATTGTTTGTTTATGTTATAAAAATCAATTTATTTCTTATGTACGTTTTATTACTAGAGAAAAAGACCGTGATTAGATAAAAAAAATAGCTCGTCGCACGAGCTATGTCAAGTTACCTTGAAAAATGTATTCTTTCATTTAATTTGATCCTCTTGTACAGAGTTCATATTCGCACATGTGTTGTGTGGTATGTATATATTAAGCTCGTGACATATTGAAAAATATTAAAAGTTCTACGATATTTCAATATCCATATTATGATGAATAATCAAAATAGATATCAATAGCATTCCGTAAAAATTTATCTAGTTAAAAAGTCACATACGTAACATATTCTATTACCATCGTTGGACCATATAGATTTATAAAATCAAACCTTGTCAATCTTCATTTTTTTACTATTGAAAAAATATCTTTTTTTAATTGTCGAAACTTGTTAATCCAAAAACAGAATTTAAAAAAAAGAAATATTTTAATACATGACGACAAAATTCCGCGAAAAATCACAAGGCAACAATTCAACATTGACGCTCGACAATTATGACTGCTTATTCATACTGCAGCCGATGCCATGTTGAAACCTATTGGTGCAAAGCGGCCCAATGCTATTTATGGCGCTCCATTGAATTCTGTCGACGATATTACACGAGAGCACAAATAGTCCCACAAATTAACGAGGAATATCAATCAACGTCATGGCCAGCGGACTCGCAGTTCTAAGCTTTTGCATATATGCGAACATGTAAATGCTCTAGGCAATGGATTGACCTGGAAGAATTTACCGTTGACAGTTGTTTTGCGAGATGAATGATTAAAAGATCCATTGTTGCAACGAAATTATCTATGCACGTACAATTATAGTTTTGCTGAATTCCCCGTTGATATCTTATTATTCCAAAAACTACGACTAACATAGCTCTATTGTTGTAGTGGTCAAACTGAACATGTTTTATAATTAGAAATAACATTTATTGAAAAGGCTCAAATTATTGAATCGCGCGCCTAATCGATTCATAAAGTGTCGACCTCTTCATTTTTAAAACTTTAGTCAGCTGATTCTAGTTCAGTATATATGTATACCATTAGTCGATAACATAGAAAATGCCAGAGGATTGATAACATTTTCACAAACTTATTAATAATTTTTAACTTTAACAATAATAATTTATTTCTTGTAAATTGAACTGCAGTCATATTTAATTAAAAACAAGAACAAATATTATCGTTCATCTTCGCACGGATTGTTACAAATGTTTTCTTGAAAAATTAGGAATCTTGTTAGAATCGCCTAAACTTTCCACAGTTACAGTCAGATTCTTCATTGATTTCTCAAGTTGATATTTCATATAAACTCGTAAAATATATCCGATAGTGCACTGAAACATAAATAATTCAAGTCATTAAAATATTTCATTTTGCAGCCGCTGGCCGATATGTCATTAAGCAGTGAGATGGAGTAGAAGAAGGATATAATTGATTTACTTTCGGGAACGATATAAATTTAATAGAGCATTAAGATCAATTATAAAAGTAACATTAAATAAAATGTGATCGATGTGATAAAATAATCATTCTTTAAAAATCTTTTATTTATAATCAAGGGACCTAAATAAATTTATCATCAAGAAAATCGAATTCAAACAATTAATTAGAATAAATTTCTTATATTTATCATTTAAACGTATGTTGTTATTTACATAAAGGCTTATTTAGTTATAACATAATAGTTACAACTGAGGAATATGGTGTGGAACATTCTACTTTTTCCTTCAATTAATTATTTCAAACAAAAAATGAGGACTAGATTTTTGTAAATTTTCAAAATATGGACTGTCAACGATATCACAGCAGCATGAGCTGCGACATAATTTGAAACTTGTAGTTTAAGGTTTTCTGCAGCGTGTAATTCCAACAGTGTTAGAATCTCAAGAACATATTTTTTAGCCGCAACTAGAAAAATCGAACAACTCTTTACAAGAAATTCGAGATTTTCAATTTTACCAGTTTAAATGTAATTCCTTCAATGCTTTACCAATATTCTTTTCAATATAAAAAATGCTTTTGTTTAGATATATTTTTAATTATTCTAAAAACCATGAACTATGTACCGTCAAAATTCCTCGATGAACTTTGAATACTTTAGTGTCAACATGAAGTTCCACATTGCTAAATAGATTATCTTCGAAAAGTGTCAGCGCATTCCTTCAGCATCAGAATCTTCACGTGGAACGCCTCAACATACGAAAATTCCAAAAGTGTATTATAAAATTATTAATCATTATTTTATTTAGCACAATAAGTTTGCCATGGGTTAACAAATTTTTCGTTTTATTTTTGAAGTCATGTAATAAAACCATATCGTTGAAACCTCTAACGGTATTATTTTATAAAAATTAATATTTGTCTGATTTACATATAATTTACTTTTTCTCCATGTCCGTTTACTATTGCAAAAGAATATTTAGTTTAGAATGGTATTTAGCCATTGATTCGTCAAAGATATGTACTCGTATCTCATAGTTAATATTGTTCCATCCTTGTGGACACAAATGTCACTCATAATTGTCACCATAATTGAATAAAAAAATTGGCTAATCCAAATAATCGTTAATATTCTTATCGTTTAAACTAAAATTCTTGATAGTCCAGGAATAAATAAATTTTTTACTATGACAATTAAGCTCCTCGATTATCAGCATATAAATCGAGTGCAAACGACACAGCTGGAGTGCAAATAAAACAGAAACTGATGAAAAGTTATTCAAATTTTTTTCTTTTCAATTAAAAATTTTTCCATCGGCATTACAGCATACTATAATATCAAATTATTATATCTTCACAATATATTCAATATATGTCAAAATATAATACGAATAATTTTGCAAGAACGATTTTATGAACCAATCAAAATTCTCTCCAGTGTACTTTACCACTTGGCTCAAACTGGCTCGAACTAAAATATCTGAAATTTATGTTTCTCGGTATAAATGTTATTATCAGGAGATATGACAAGTAGCAGAAAAAATAAAAATTTTTAATTTCTCTTTAAAACATATGTTTACGCTATTCTTATTCATATAAAATATGTATCTAAAACAATCTCCAAATTAATTCATTTGTTTTTATGGACAGTAAATAAGTACAAAATGGAATTTTGCATAGAAGTATTTGACAGTTCATTTTATTGGAATCATTTATTCGCAGGCAGATAAACGATCCGATAAAATTGTATTTTCATTTGCATGCTTGACAAAGTAAAATATCTATTAATATCTATTATAATATTAATAATGAAAAAATCACGATGTAAATACTTAAATCGTCTTTTGTTATTTATAATATTCAAAATTTCCAATAATTGATAAGTTTTAGATCTTTATAAATCATTCAAGCTAAAATTGGAAACAAAAAAGACAAAATCGAATTTTTGTGACCTATAATAAAACTTTTTATTTGGTAGCACGAACATTTTTTGTTGGGAGATCTATCAAAATGTGACTAGAAAAATCATTTATAAAATATGTAAATCATATAAGTAATTACGAAATACATTTTTAGAAATGATTATTTTGTACATGCATTACTAGTGATATCTATCGCGTTTTGCACGCTTATCTTTTTCGTCTTTTTTCCGCATTCATTTTAATGTACGAATACAGATCAAAACTTTTTTCGATAATTTGAAAATTAAAACGGCTTCAATTTGTCAGGTTCTCTTTTTTATAAGAGGATTCTAGCTTCATGAAAGCATTATACATGATAATTATTAAATCGTATTAGAAAATAATTATAACTTACAGTGCAGTCTGAAGTTTTAAATAATATTTGAATTTTAAATAATTAAATAAAAATATAAATTAAAAAATGTATTTAAGTAATTTTTGTATAGATACCACGTAAACATTTGTGCGTCAAAATAATTATAAATGTAATTATTCATTCGAAAACGACGTAGCAGAAATAGTAACTTTTTTTTTATTTTACATGCGGCATTCTATAAATTTACAAGACAGATACCCGTACGTGGAATCGTGAAACTGCAGCAGTCGATCCTTTTCCTCTCCGTTTACTACTGTATTTAATAATATACCTTTGAACCCCATCTCTCCGCCCTATGAGCGCGAACAAGGCGATCTTGGCAGGGAAAAATCTCTTTTTACCGCCCTTCCTTCCGCACGACGAAATAGGGAGACGAAAAGACGAGAAGCAGTTCCCGGCGAAAATCAGACGTGCATGTCCAGGTGCGTGCTCTCGCCTTCACTCAGGATTATGCAAGAGAAGAGCGATTTACGTTCTTTGTTGCGGGATTTAACGAACGTAGCTAAGGGCACGCGACTGAAACTTGAGGGGTGGTATCCCCTCGCATATGCCTTTGGCGTGTTAAGAAGAAGCAATGCTGCTGTATGGTTTTTATTCGCTGTCTTTGTCGCGTGTTCTTTTTCGGATAGGTATGAGAGCTTAGAAGTGCCTAGACATTCGATTTTAGGCTTACTTTGGTTGCGCAAGCAAGAAAAAGGAAATTTTTAATTTTTTTCTTGTTCATACTTACATGGTAGAGTAATGAATTACGGCGGAAGTGAATAGTAGTTTGTAAGAGAGTTCGATCGTGGTAACTGCGTGTTTGAATAATGATTCTTTGCCTCAACAAGTCGTCAGAAAATTCAAGATCAAAGAGTTTCCCTGGCCTGTAATCAAGGAGCTTGGCATGGAATCGTATTTCTCCTGAAAAAAATGTGATAATTGTATGGCGACATACGAATAATCCATCGCAGTTGTATTCGTTATTCGTATTACCTAAAATAGGCAATATCATCCAACCTGTGTAGGATTTTCTTATCGATACTGGTCGATTATCAGCTTCTTTAAACCTTGTCAACCATGGCATGAACTGTAAAGTAATTTGTCAATTTGAGATCCTTTATAGGTAAATTTACAAAGACACATTATACGTATAAGGATCATTATTAAAATGAAACTTTATAAATAGATCCGTATATCTCGGAATAATACCGAAATACCGCGTACCAGCTTCGATTACAGACCGTTTCATGTCGCGTTACAGGGTAAGCGAGTAGATTACAGTGCTTTAAGCTCGTCAGGGTTTGATTCTCGAGGATCTCGATTGACCTGACGATCTGCTGCCCCATTAGTCGGGTCTCGGAATACTGCTCGTCCAGTCAAAGCGTCCACGTCGGTAGCTGCTCGTCCAATTTCGATTTTGTATGACAATGCGCGCGTGAACTTCCGTTTGAAGTGGATTTCAAAGGGTTCGAGGCGATGATGGGACGCTGATTTTCACATGAGCAGAATAGATAGGCAATCTTGTTACCTATCACCAATCGAGTTATGATGTACTCGTATATTCACCATTGGAACTTGATCAATTTTTACTATTTATTCAAGATCATTTAACTCTCGACAGATAAGTAAAAAATAATTAAGTATCAATTGCTGCTTATCAGTATACAAAAAGTAGAAAAAATAAGAATTAGCCATATTACTTCTAAAGTTACACATGGCATTGATTTTATTGCACTACTTTACGGAATTGGCCGAAAAATAAATTATAAAAAATCTCTGAAACGTTGTTCTTTCTGTTCTTCAACCAGTACAAACGCTTTTCATGAACCAAATGATCTACCAAATTTTATGAAGACCGAACCGATCGTTCGCTCTCGACATTGAACCTTTGATGTCCAGCTGGGGGTACAGCGAATCCCACAGGAGCCGGAAATCTTCTGCTTGACTAGCCCCATGGATATTCTCAGCATTTTGAACGGATACTGCGGCTTCTCATTGCGAATCCGGTCTTCTGGTTCATTCCTATTAACCGGTCATGACTCTTAACTGGTGAACGTAAACTCGCTCATCCATGCAAAACCATAGGATACTAACTAAATTTTTCTCACAACTTGTACATCCTCTTTACAAGTAAGAGATACTTCATTGTAGTGTGATCTATGAGCGACAGTTTTTCTCACATCATATATTTCGGCATATGAACCTATACCGGTTTCATATTTTTATGATTTTTAATACTGTTTATATGCTTCTTAAGTTTCGGTTAAAGTCTTCATGAAATATTTTTAACATATACCAAGTACCCTATAAACGTACACTTAAAAATATATTGTTCATTAGAAAATCTATGTTTGTAAATAAAAAACACATTATATATATCTAATCTCTCAGTTGCGATATGCAGAATTTTGTTCAAGTATCATTTTTATTCTTAATTAGGAAACAGCAGTGTAAATGGTTATTTAATATATATTGTATATTTTCCTAAAAAGTTATGAATAAATTTTTTTTGTGTCCACTTCTGTAAGAGAAACTACAATAGTATATCAATGTTCATAAAAGAGTATAAGTCACTTAAAATATGTTTCTGATATTAGCTTTCTAATCTGCAGTATCCTTATTTATATTATAGCACATTATTTTATAACTTTACCCAATTTCAATCAAAAGATTGTATGTATTGAGTGAAAAGCTACGTATCAATATTCAAATATTATATTATCTATCAACTTTTATCTAGTTAAAAGAAAATGATGAATATTTTACCATGGAATAGAATTGTGATGAATATTATAATATAAAAATATTTAAAGTTGATTCGCGAATATAAGGTGAACACATCACACACTTATCAACAATAAGACATAGAAGTCCTTTTATTTAAAAAACCATAATTATACAGTTTAAGCAATTATTAGGTAGAAGAAATATTTATTTTTTCATTTTTCGTGAAACACGTACAACGTAAAGATTTTATAAATGCAATAATTTTATGTAACAACTTTATATCTAATGTAAAAATTAGATCGATATTTTCTCTAACTGTATCAAACTAACTGTTTCCTAATTTAAGTTCTTACGTATTTTTTTAACTTTTGCTTTTTTTCATATTAGATATTGTATGCATATGGTTAATAATTTAGTTTATACGAAAAAAATTTTTATACAAATTAACAATCAGCTATACATCTTTCACTGTTGAGCCTTAATAACCGATTTTAATCGATGATCTAGATTATGTTTGGATCTGATTTTATAAAAATAAATATCAGGCTGTAAAGAAAACCGTAAAATCGGGCAGAACATTACTGATAAATGCAATATACGCAACGAACGATAAAATGTTTGCTTTACTCTGGCACTATTTATGTCCGAAATAATCTCCAAATTTTGTTTTCATGTATTCTTACGAATTTCTATATGACAATTAATAATAATTTATAGAATTTTTACCGCAATTTTGCGCATTATGTATATAATATTAAACAATATTATGAGTATAAAATAACATAAAATTGTTTTCAATTAATATGAAATAATTCTTGACTATATTTTTCATTGCGTATGGTATAGATTTACTTTTGATATGCAAAACTTTTTCTGTTATTTGTAATTTATTAAAAAATAATAAAGATTATAAATACCTTTTCTAATGCATGGGAGCTAGTTGCAAATTCAAACACTGTTGTAGGATTTCCTTTGATTTGCTTTTGATGATTACATGAATAATCAGCGGGGTTAACTTCCAGCGTGTAGAGTATATGAAGACCAATGCTGATCCAAGGTAGGACAGCAATGGTAATTAATTGAAATAACATCACGTTCTCTTATTTGTGTTCTTGACTTTCTTTCTTCTTCGAAGCCATCACGCGCACGTAAAAATAAATCAAAAAAATGTTCAAAATAACTAGTATTGCAAAGTGAAAAGCCAAATAGAGTAGGTTTCTAAAGTTCATTTAACAAAGACCAAATCAAATGCTAAATAATTCGAGAGTTTGAGTATACAAATTGTCTCCATTTTAGATTTCGTTGAAAATATTACCACTGAGTATATGCACATAATAGTGAAAGAAAAACCGAATCTCAAATGAATAGCCCATAATGATTTATTTTTCACGAACACAAGTTCTTTCTTTTCTATCGAGTCTTTTATATTGCCATCTATGATCAACGTCCTATACAGTAGTTTTTTGAAACAAATAAGACATTTATAAATATTTCTTCATCCGCACAATATGTGAAATATTTGTACCATTGAGGGCCTTGTTCCAAAAATATTATGAGAAAGTTTCAGTTTTTTCATAATCGAATTCACAAAGTAGCACATTACTTACCTAAGACCATCTAGAAACTTCATCGTATTTAACGAAGTGACCTATAGGACTTCATCTTAGCCTGATTACAGAAGCAACATAAATCTTATGTAAAAGCACCGATTTCGCGTGCGCTGTCATTTCCACTGCAGTCACTTGATTATCCCGTTTTCTCGGCTATCTCACGACGGAGCTCTACTCTATCGGGGTTTCGCGACGGAGAGCAGAGTGGCAAATGGGGCTGCCAGGCTGCGTGGCTAGTGCGAAGCTGAAGCCCTACCGCGATACGCAAGCAACATCAGCCGATGCAATGACACGAGGCCTCGTGACGTTGGCCTACTCGCGCTTATTAGCGCGAACCATGCTTTATCGACAGATTTATTACAATTTCAGTCAATATCTGAACAATGTCAGCATCGTCGCGCCGTCATTCGTTCGATATTTCACCGATAACGCCTTCCAAATAATTTTCAACGCGCAATGAGCACTCAATGTGTGGCGTAACGCCATCAGACTCGAGAACTTGACGTGCTGCATAAAACAGCCGACATTATAGTTATACCGAGTAGGAGTAGGTTGATTCAGCAAACACATGTCGATCAAAGGTTTCTCTGCGAGTATCGCGCCAATCACACGACTCGTGAGAAAGAAAAGGAAAAAAGGACTATGAATGCACCCACATAAAGTTCGGCGCGCGCTAAATACGACAAAAGTAATATCAAAGCACGGGGATCCCGTGTACAATGGATATGTATCAGTCGTCGAAAGTCAGATTCCCATGACGGCAGGAACACTTTGCCGACGAAAATCAGGACTTGCGGAAGTGCAGGTAAAACTTCCTGCGCGCTAGGGCGCATGCAAATCACGCAGCGCTCGACGCGCACATTTCGTTGAATAATTCAGCCGGGGCGCGGGCGCCTCTAATATCCGCTCCATCCTCCCCCGGCTGCGCGAACCCTTCGTTAAATCCACGCGCTTCCCATGACGGGCTGCGGCGGACATGCGCGCCTGCGTCGTCGTCGTCGTCGTCGCCGCCTACCTGTGGCAACGCGTGCGTCCGCGCCACATTTGCATTTGGCTTAACGCTAAACAAATTCGAGCTCTCGCACTCGCTGTTCGGCCGCGCTTATCGCGCGCCCTCGATGGCCTCGACCACTGCATTATCGCTCGCTACCGAGAGAGACACGGGGAGAGAGCTATTGTCGCGTTGCTTTTGATGGACGAGCTTGCTGTTGGGCCAAGCATTACGGATTTATCGTAATTTGATAGACTGTAACGATGCGGAAAGCTTGTGTTCCGTTCTGCCTATTCTCCGCTAATTGATTTCTCGTCGATGTCGTTTCTTGCCTGTGGATGATAACTACTGCGTCGCCTGGTTTACCTGGCCTTTCCATACATTTTCACAACATCTTTGTTTTTTTTTCTGCGTAATCATTACTTTGCACTAGAGCATCGCGCGTGAATGAAAGATCTGCTGGCACACAACGCAGCTAGAAAAACTACTCAACGCCAATTACCTCGAGTGGCAGCCAACACGCGTGCCAAATCCCGCTTTAGTACCCCCATAAATCTACGACCTTCACCGCAATGTCAAAGAGTCACATACGACTGTATGGGGGTGGTGTGGCGTCAGATTTGACGCGTGTGCATGCGCTGCTCTTCATAATGAGCCCCCATGAGCAACATGTGCTTTTTTTTACGAAAAGAGAGAGAGAGAGAGAGAGGGAGAGTGAGCGCGAATGCGTGTAAAATGCGACTTCCGGCCTGCTTTAACTTCCCATACAGCGTTGAACCAGCACGCGAGTCGTTTTATCTAGAGTGCCTGGCGAACTCGCGGGGTCGCTTTAATGGATTGATTCGATGCTGGTATGGGCGACCGAATATCGCTCTCACGAGTTCAATTTGGGAATGCTAAATTTATGTTCACTTAAAACTTTTTACATGAAACCGGAAAAACCTATGCTATCATTTGCATAGTAAATAGTTTATTAATGAAGATAACGTATCAGGATTGGTCGATCTATTAATAAGTTTTATTGTGACTATGCTATATTTAAATTTTTTCATCTTTTTAAATTTCTGAGAAAGAAATTTATCATAGCTACATGTAATTGGATTCAATTGAGAACTCGTAATCGATACTTTTTTCATGCTGAGGTCTTTGCTTCGACAACCTTTTATTGTATTTAAATTTCACCGAACCAGACCAGACTTACAGTCGCAGAATGAATTGGGGTAGGAGCACGAGCTTATATACAAATCTCGAAGAAAAAAAAGGTGTACAGGGATTGGGGGTTGAAAAGCGAAGCTCTGCTTTTCTTTCTTTCACCTGGTCCCCTAGCGAATGCGCGCACACAGATATCTGTACGAGGGTTGCAGGCGTGAGAAACGGCTTCGATAGGATTTATTGAATGACGTTAACTATTCAAGCCTTGACTTTTACACGTCACTTTTTTTTTATCTCATTTTTTTCAACGTTAATGAATCAATAACATCTTTCCCCATAGTTTAGAGAGACTATCCTGCTCTGACGTTTCGAATTTTATATTGTATTAGTAAACGCTAAATTTATTTGTCATGATACTTTTTAATTGGTAGACATGAAGTTAGTAATTTGATTTCATTTATTTTTTACTTTTCAGAGATTCATCTTGTAGAGACTCCTTAAAAAAATGAAAAAAAATAAAGAATACAAAACTGCACCGTCACTAACTGAAATGAAATCTTTTGGCACAGAATAACCACTCATCGTGGGTTACATTGAATTATTTTAAATTTAAAGTCATCACTCTTTTAAAAAATAATGAAAAAAAAACAGAACAGAGTTAGTTTTCAAGCGTACGGAAGAGCAACAATCTACAGTTGCTCAAGCGCAAACGGTCACAGTTGACCCCAGTCGAATGGATCTGCTGTCTCCCCCTTTGCCCCGTATAGCCATGAACCGGAGCTATTTAAAAGGGAGCGGCGTATAGGTGTACCTGCCGCGATGCCGATGCTAAGCGGCGAGGGGAAGAGAGAAAAAGCGACGTACGAGGGGGACAGCGAAAAGGCCTAGGCTCTGAAGAGGGTTGAAGCACTTGTTCCATGCGGGACATCAATTTTTTCAGAAAAATCATGCCGAGATATTCCCATTCGTTATTTTATGAGTGATTTTTAATTCTCGTGGGTGCGGGATCATTCTGGTATTTGCAGAAAGGTTCTGTACTATATTCTTTCGAAGAAAATCAATACAAATGTTCTATATTATTTTTACTATAGTTGATAATGACAGGTCATAAGAATTAGAACTTTCAGTAATTTAATGAGTGAGAAAAAGTTTCAAAAACGTGCATTGCACTTTTTTTAAAAATTTACAAGGGATTTTTATGATAGACATGAAGTAATCTTTGTGAAAAACTATATAAATTATTGTTTTATTTTCTTTATAAATAGTATGGAATTGGAACGAAATATACCATTTTTAATCTCTTAGAAGGAAAGTCTGTTTCCTTACGCAGTGAAAATTTTGGTAATATAACCAAATGAATGAAATAGAAAGAACACCTTACTTGATAAGTTCGAAAACCCTCAGTTCAAAGACATGTTAAATATAGAAACCTGGCTTCGAAGTATCAGCATTCATCAGAATCGTCGAACACGTGCTAAGCTCTCAACCGCATCACAAGAGGGGATAGTATATATCAGACTCCAGATCTTTTGAGTCTGCGATCCTTTTTTACTTTCGACACGCTTGGCCTCTTTTGCTGGGCCTCCTCAAGATTCTCTTTTTTTATACCATCGACCCGTATCGCGTGACGAGTTGATATGCTTTTGTGAGAACGAAAACAAGATTATTTTCGAGGATGCGGTTGCCCGATCTAGGCTCTTGCTACATCGACTGATCCAGTTTGGTTATCAGAGAGAGAGAGAGAGAGAGAGAGAGAATGGCGGTTACAAATATCATGAACAATTTTTGGCGTTGGGTGATCGATAACTATTATTGTTGAAAGTTATAAAATCACCCATGATTACATGAGGAAAGTCTTTATTTGAAGCGTTTGTCCAGTTTGAAAAAAAGTATTACCTGTTAGAGAAACATAATATATAGTTGAATACCATTTTGGATATAGACATTTTTCGATTTATTTGAAAAATTTTTAAATTAGCTTAGAGTAGAAAGAATGAGCGTATTAAAAATATTCACAATAATCCCAAACGGAAGAAACACTCGAGTGAATCCGTATCAATCAAAAATTAGAAATCGCGTTATAGCTCGACGTATCCAGAGACTTGCGTACGAAGGTAAGAGTTGCTGCAAACAAAGAGCGAAAACAAAAACGATAGGTGTCCCCTTGGCCATATACGTATTACGAAAACAAAGTCGCTCGACACTTTTCTCGATTTACAGTGAGTCTCCCGACCATCTGCGCAAATACGATATCGGCGCGTGTTGTGCTGAGGCCGCATGGAGAAAAGAAGGCGCAAGGAGCTGGCTTGCCGGCTGCGTGTGCCGTCCGTGAGAACTTGGGGCAGATGCGTCGACGCAGAAATCAACGCTAGGGGCCTTAAGGCTGCTTGCCTGCCCCTATATATATCGCGAGCAACAGCTCTCGCCCTACCAATTCTTTTACCTTTTTTGACGCACGTGCAACAACTAGACGATACGTGCAAGGGGGATCGTGCTTTTCTTTGAATTTCCAACGTAAGTCGTGAAAATTAACGGTTCCTCTTCTTTTTCCATCCTGTCGTCGAGTTTGACTTTCAAATTATCGTCTTCCTTCTTTACATTGACCTCTGCAATTATGAATATTTTGACACTGCCATGAGCGCGCAGCCAATTAACACGTGGAAACAGAAATTCATATCAATCCTTCAGTTCTTTGTTCTGACGTTGCATTTGAAATGATAATTAAGAGCAGTTCCAGTAACGAAAACTTGAAGGATGTTGGCAAAATTTGGGTTTTCGCCTGAACCGTCATTGTCATTCAGCTTCGAGGAAAAAAAGTCGAGCAGCAGGAGGCTAACAAAGCCGGAGAAAGCCATTATTATTCCATCGTGCGCGCAGTTAGAGAGGGAGGGGCGAGGAGGCCAAGGGGTCACTGGAAAAGTCGAAGGGCTCCGGGACACTGCGGAGATCGAAGAAACCGAAGCTGAGAGCTGCATTGAACTTCAGGATTTACGATATTAGGCGTGAACCTACTCGGTTGTTTATCGCCTGTTTTTTGGAGA